GATTATCTCTAATGTAGTAGATGCTGTTTTAAATGTGCATTAACAATTTTGTTAATTTTTTTATTAGTTTCTAATCAATAAAATTTACTTAAATATTTAGTTACTTTTTAATCATTTTGGTAAGAAATTTATCAATTTCTAGTTCTAAAAAAGCAGAAATACTTCGGAATTCATCTCTTCATGGTAATCTCCCGTCTTTTTGCCTTCAAAACCAATAATACATTTGCTACAAAACCTTCAGAATAAACATGTAAAATAAGTCGTCTTCCCTTTCTTGTAGGGCTTTTCAGCAATTGATATCTTTGATAGTACTCGATGAAGACGGATCCATAATCGTAAAAATTAAATACAATTGCTTACTGAAGTTCTGAAAAGAACTATTATTTACGAAATAAAGTAAAAAACTAAGTAAATGATGAGATATAAAAATATAAAATGTCAGAACTGTCAACAATATCAATTATTAGCTGATGTTAATGCTAAAAAGTGATGTGTGAAACTGACTGCAAACTGACCAATCAGAAGTCTACAGAATTGCCAACTTAAATTCAAATCGCTCCTCCTAGTTTAAAAATAGAGTATAGAAATCTTAGAGCATATAAGGCTAGAGATATCATTCAATGTATTTTGTTATGTATAAGCGGGGTCATCACTTCTGGCGTGAGGGGAGAAGGGTAGGTACGCCATTCTCAATGGCGTACGGTTTGAAACGGTTCGTATTTATGTTTACCATTTATGATGATTAATAAACAAATTTATTAAACAATATTCTTTTTCTATTTATGTTAAGCTTTTGTTATACATTGTATTGTATACATGTTTTACTGGAAATGACTATATTTTCGTTTAGGATTGAAAATTTTCTTTATTGTAGATATAGGTTTTGAAACTGTATGCTTCCAAATGAATTCGTGAGCACACATTATTTTCGTTTAGTTCAAGTAAATCATTTAGAAACTGAAATATTTTTTATATAGAGTAAATAAAAGAAAAACGAAAACAAATAACAATAATTTATTTCTAGTAGTAATAATATTAAATGTACATGTTTTATAATTAAATTATTAATCAATGTAATCAAAACAAGATATAATATAAAATATAGTAGGTACATAACTATTCGTAATAGACATATTTATTAACTTTACAAGCAGAACACAATAGCATATTTTGCTTCAACTGACTGATTTTGTTGAAACTTGCTGCCAATATCAACATATCCAATATATTCTTGGCCAGTCCATTCCACCCTTTGCATAATTGCCATTTCATATATCAAAAGATTAAAAAAAAACTTTTTTGTAACCTTCTTGACTTTCTCGCCTTTAAATTTCAATACTCTTCAGTGAATCCAGGAGAACCATCACAGCCTAATGTCACTTTGATAAAGTACTGGGATGTGTGAGACAATTGTTAAATTTTTCCCTCACATATGTATAAGCCTTCATACCGTAGAAGCTCAAAGTTAGTGCTAACGCTCTTAATTCAGGGGAGTATTTTGTTCTGGAATGATCTTTAATTGCTCTCTTGACCAATTCCTTAGATCCACTTGCAAGAGAAGCCTAAAAATAAACTAATTTGACCCAAAATAACATATATAAATAAAATGTTTCCTAATCATTAAAAACATTTATGAATATTACTGGAATTAATTCTTACATCCACAATTATATCTGTACTTTTTATAAAAGAGTTATTTTTTATATATCCTATCATACTATTTAAAGATTCCAATCTACTTTGTAAAAAATATTTCCCCTAAGTTTTTCAATTATGTTTTTTGTCGGCATAGAATCTTCGCTAATTTTCTATAAAAAAAAACTGTTTAATTTTTTTTTCTTAAACATTGCTTTCCTGATATCATAATAATGCTTGATTATATGAGAAAATATCTTATTTGACTTTAACAAACCTTCGTTTTTCTTTTTTAAGTTCTCTTTCCCTTTTAGAAGGGAGCTTACAGATATTGTGGTTTTAGTTGATGAGTTTATCAAATTTTAAATAATTTTTTGTCTTTTAAAGAGAGTTAAAGATTGAAATTCCCTGTCTTGCATATTTTTGTCCCTACAAATAAAATGTACATAAAATGTATTCTGCAGATTTTTAATGATATAGATTTAATTAAATTTTAAAAGTTCCAAAGGCTATTATTACCAGCACCTGTTTGGCTTTTAAAAATATAAGAGCTAATCATACCTTTTCATTAGCCTTCTTTCTTTTCTAACTTCGAAATTTTCAATGTTGAGAACTGCAGATAAGGGCATATTTTCTTTACTGTTGTTATTTTTATGCCTGTAAACAATAATGTAATAATAATATATATGTCTAGTATTTAACAAAATTAGCCACATATATGAATATCGAATTACAAGTATTTTCAGTTTATTTGGAAAAAACTCATTTCTATAGCAAAGTACAGGTACAGATTTTGGTATAGATCCTTTTATTAATCTATTGCTACCTTTAAAATAATGTTCAGTTGAAAATGGTCTGTGTAGTTAGAAATGCTATTAATGTTCAAACTGTAACAGCAGGCTTAAACAAGAGAATGTTGTGACAAGTCAGTCGTGAACGCTGTCAAATAAAATACTCATTACTTGCATTCGTATTATTATTATTTTTAATAATATAATATTACACAAACTAAATACTTGACAGTTTGGTTGTGAGATCAGCGGGAAATCTGAAATAAGTAAAAAAGATTTAAAATATTAATGGCAGTAGAATAAATATATACAATACAAAAATATATCTAATCCATTTTACATTATATACAAAAAGACATAAATTAAGCATTATCGCAAAGAAAACGACTATTTTCTGTCGAACGCAACCAGTTGCGGTCATGCTCAAATGAAGAAAATTCTACAAACATGTTTTCTTATTCATTTGCCCATTTCCCATTTTAAGTTACGTTTATGGAATATAGAATACTTACTTGTGAAATGTCAACCAGGATCCTTTTAAGTATGTATTATATTGTAAACTATACCAGCTTTCGGCATAATTAGCACTTATTTTATAATAAAATTACCACATACTTTGATTACTATACGGGGCAAGAGAGAGGTCCGACACGCCCAACATAGGGCGCGGCCATTTTGAACTCTATGACACAGTTTATAGCTAAAGAATCAGATCGATCACTCTGCGTCGGCACTTTTTATCTCAATGTTCCAGTTTATACACTGCGCAACTCAGATAATACAATATATGACAACCGCCTATAATAAAACAGCAGTCTTCTGCGTATCCTGAATTTGTATCCCTGGAGTGTATGTTATTATGGAACTTTCAACTGGTCCGAGTGAGCTAACTGATTCTTTAGCAATAAACTGTAATTCCAAAAATAATATTCACTGACACCACATACTTTGATTTTCTTTTACTATACGGAGTATGGTCGCACTGCGCAGCTTTCTGAGTGCCTTTTAAAAGGAGATAGAAAACTCTGCCATTTTGAACCTCCTCCTTCTCCTCCTCCTCCTCCTCCTCCTCCTCCTCCTCCTCCTCCTCCTCCTCCTCCTCCTCCTCCTCCTCCTCCTCCTCCTCCTCCTCCTCCTCCTCCTCCTCCTCCTCCTCCTCCTCCTCCTCCTCCTCCTCCTCCTCCTCCTCCTCCTCCTCCTCCTCCTCCTCCTCCTCCTCCTCCTCCTCCTCCTCCTCCTCCTCCTCCTCCTCCTCCTCCTCCTCCTCCTCCTCCTCCTCCTCCTCCTCCTCCTCCTCCTCCTCCTCCTCCTCCTCCTCCTCCTCCTCCTCCTCCTCCTCCTCCTCCTCCTCCTCCTCCTCCTCCTCCTCCTCCTCCTCCTCCTCCTCCTCCTCCTCCTCCTCCTCCTCCTCCTCCTCCTCCTCCTCCTCCTCCTCCTCCTCCTCCTCCTCCTCCTCCTCCTCCTCCTCCTCCTCCTCCTCCTCCTCCTCCTCCTCCTCCTCCTCCTCCTCCTCCTCCTCCTCCTCCTCCTCCTCCTCCTCCTCCTCCTCCTCCTCCTCCTCCTCCTCCTCCTCCTCCTCCTCCTCCTCCTCCTCCTCCTCCTCCTCCTCCTCCTCCTCCTCCTCCTCCTCCTCCTCCTCCTCCTCCTCCTCCTCCTCCTCTCCTCCTCCTCCTCCTCCTCCTCCTCCTCCTCCTCCTCCTCCTCCTCCTCCTCCTCCTCCTCCTCCTCCTCCTCCTCCTCCTCCTCCTCCTCCTCCTCCTCCTCCTCCTCCTCCTCCTCCTCCTCCTCCTCCTCCTCCTCCTCCTCCTCCTCCTCCTCCTCCTCCTCCTCCTCCTCCTCCTCCTCCTCCTCCTCCTCCTCCTCCTCCTCCTCCTCCTCCTCCTCCTCCTCCTCCTCCTCCTCCTCCTCCTCCTCCTCCTCCTCCTCCTCCTCCTCCTCCTCCTCCTCCTCCTCCTCCTCCTCCTCCTCCTCCTCCTCCTCCTCCTCCTCCTCCTCCTCCTCCTCCTCCTCCTCCTCCTCCTCCTCCTCCTCCTCCTCCTCCTCCTCCTCCTCCTCCTCCTCCTCCTCCTCCTCCTCCTCCTCCTCCTCCTCCTCCTCCTCCTCCTCCTCCTCCTCCTCCTCCTCCTCCTCCTCCTCCTCCTCCTCCTCCTCCTCCTCCTCCTCCTCCTCCTCCTCCTCCTCCTCCTCCTCCTCCTCCTCCTCCTCCTCCTCCTCCTCCTCCTCCTCCTCCTCCTCCTCCTCCTCCTCCTCCTCTCCTCCTCCTCCTCCTCCTCCTCCTCCTCCTCCTCCTCCTCCTCCTCCTCCTCCTCCTCCTCCTCCTCCTCCTCCTCCTCCTCCTCCTCCTCCTCCTCCTCCTCCTCCTCCTCCTCCTCCTCCTCCTCCTCCTCCTCCTCCTCCTCCTCCTCCTCCTCCTCCTCCTCCTCCTCCTCCTCCTCCTCCTCCTCCTCCTCCTCCTCCTCCTCCTCCTCCTCCTCCTCCTCCTCCTCCTCCTCCTCCTCCTCCTCCTCCTCCTCCTCCTAATTAAAAAGTTAACGCATGCAACAAAAAGATACTATAAATAATTTTTTTTTTCAGATTTTTATTTATTCAGTAGTTTTTAATATATTCCAATTAACCAAATCCATTCGAGTGGAAGAAAATGACAAAGATTTACCTAACAATGTTAGCCAAGAAGACTACATCGATGGAAGGAAGCGTCCTCAAGCAGGAACTTCTTCAGGTTGTAACTTCAAAAACAAACGCATACCAGTTTACAAAACCGACGGTTCTGGAAGAACATTTCTAGATTTTGCTTATGTAAATGTTGAATATAATATTAATTGTGGTGGTGGAGGAGGAGGAACTAATTATCCAAGTGATAACAACTATAATGCAAATGATGTAAGTCAATATCATAAACCAGGCTTTGGGGGACATCATAAACCTATATTTGGAGGGCATCATAAACCTGGATTTGGTGGTAACCACAAACCCGATGCTGGATTCAATCCCGGATTTGGACAAAAACCAGGTAATTAGACATAATAACTATTTTTGAAATGCCTTTATAACGAATGAATATTTGCCGGACGATCAAAGCGAGGTCCTGTTACATGAACGAGTTACATGAAACGACATTATTTATAAAATTGTGTTTTGGTAAAAAATTACTGACATCTAGGCAACCAATATTACTACTTTCTTGTATTGTTATTTGCATATGATTAACTTCATTCTTTTACTAACAAAAATAATATTAATTTGTTCTCAACGAATTATCGTAATGTATATATTACTTGTTCAAGTTATTTCAATAAAGTCGGTTATTTTGTCGTGTATTGTGTTTGAATTATTTTGTGTTGATTTAAAATTAAAAATAAGGAAAAACAAAATTAAAACTAGTATGTAAATTTAACAATCTACCCTTCTTTGATATAAACTTCAAGTAATAATGTATATTATTGATTTTTATTTGTTTTTTTTTTTCGTTCACAACTAGTGACATAATGAATTTTTCGAAACAAGTTTCGTAATGTTCAACATTATACACTGGTTGCGTAAAGTAGATCATTTTGGCACTTGCTGCGATTACAAAAAATGTCACTTCATATGTCAAAATTAAAAAAAATCTTTTAACTGCCACTAGATTATCAGCCACCTTATTTTTATTTTCAGGTCATCATGGCAGTGGTCATACCAATAGACCATTTCTATCAGCTCTATTTGGAAATAGGCCGCAACATTCGGATTCCCAAGAAACAAATGAACCAAGTGAGTTCCTTAAAAATAAAATACCTATGTACATGCATTAACGTACAACCTATTTTTTTTTTGTTAAAATGCAATTATGGGGTCTATTCTGTAACGTTTTAGTTAATTTTAACCACCAGGTTAAAAGTTATTTATAACTATGACGTTTAAATTTTAACCCAAATTTAATTGTGTGTTATTCGTTTGGTAACGGGTGCGTGTGATTACGGAATAGGTGCTCTAATTTCGCACATTATGCCAGACGGTGTGCATAAGGTAATTAATAGGGTTAGTTATTTTGTAACCAATCCCAGTTAAAATAGACATTGTAACGATGTAATTACCTAAAAGTGAATTAAAAGCCCAATGCAGCATTAAAAACAAGAAAAATAATATATTTAACATATAATCAATAGTAGATTTATTGACGACTGACATAAGTTATAATTTTAACCAAATAGTACAGATTACAAAATTAAAAATGACATCTGGTTATTTTTATAACCCAGGGTTAATTTTAACCAAATTCATACAGAATAGCCCCAATATATTTTTATGCATGACCGGGCGATAAAATTTAGATTTAGCGGGCTTAAAGTGCCCCTTTATCGCCTGTGAACTACTTTACCGCCTGCAGTAAATTTCTTATAATAACCGGCTCAAAAAGGCGAAAAAGAGAAAATGGTCATTTAATAATAAACTATCATTAAAACGGTCGTACATAAAATTTTATACAGGGTGTCCCATTAGTTCAATATTTCAATTTGTGTTATGGACACGCACAAAAGTTTTAAATTAAAGTTATATGGAATTGAAAAATAAATGTTTAATTTTTGGATATACAGGGTGTTGCGTTTTTGCACGACAAGTAAAAATGTATGATTTTTCAATAGAACACCGTATATTTTATTTTATTTTTAGAAGGGTTTAGTAATAGCGCATTCAACCCTAGAAAGTTTTTAAATGATATAACAATTTTTTTTATATTAGAGAATGATGCTGACCCCAAATTAAATTATCATAATTTAGGTAGGTTTACATTGATTTCAAAATTGTTTAATACTTACAAGATACTCAGCTAAAAAATAGTGGTGATAGAACTGGTTTATTTTATACAGAGTGTTTTGAAACATGTCTTAAATATGGCTTATTTTAAGTTCAATTTACTCAATTTATTCAAATGCAATACCATGTAGATTATTTAAGCATTAAATTCCTTATAAATTTGCCTATACAACGTTACCAACACATATACAAGGTGTCCCATCAGTGCGTAATTAAATGATGGCTGTTTTAATATTAGAAATACGAATAAATATAAAAGTTGTATGACCATATTTAACAATTTTTCTCAAATATACAGGGTGGTCCATAAACGAGGTGCTGACCAAATCTGCACTTTTTTAAAGCAAAACATCCTGCAGGTATTCATACATATTTGATTGTTTTCACTTCCTCAAACAATTTTAATTGACTTCACTCATTTGCCATTTTGTATATAGGGTGTGTCAAAACGTAAGGTTACGATTTTCTTAATTTTCTAAATGGAATAACATATAGGGTATTCGACTTAAAAAATTGAGAAAATCGTTATCTCGCATTTTGACACACCCTATATACAAGATACGAATAAATAAAGTCTATTTAAATTGAAAACAATTAGATAATCAAATATGTATAACTACCTACAGGGAGTGTTTTGTTTTAAAAATGTATAAATTTGATCAGACCCCCGATTATGAACCATCCTGTTTATTTAAGAATATTTATTAAACATGATTGGTCATACAACTTTTATATTATTTTTTTTCGTATTTCCAATAATAAAACAGCTATGGATCAATTACGCATTGATGGGACACCCTGTATATGTGTTATTGACTAACATATTGGTATGGTTGGATAGGTAAATTTATAATGAATTTTATGCTAAAATATTATAAAAAATTAAGTAAATTGAACTTAAATTTAGCCATATTTAAAACATGTTTTACAACACTCTGTATAAAATAAACCAATTCTATAACCACCATTTGTTAGCTTAGTAGCTTATAAGTCTGTACATTAAACAATTTTAAAATTAATGTAAACCTACTTAAATTATAATAATTTAATTTGGGGTCTGCATTATTCTCCAATTTCAAAAAAAAATAATTGCTTGGCAACAGTGTAATATATTTTTAAAACATTTTAGGATTGAATATAGTATTACCAAACCATTCTAAAAATAAAATACACGGTGTTCTATTTAAACATCATACATTTTTATTTTCCAGGCAAAAACGCAACACCCTGTATATCCAAAAATATTTGTAAAATATGTATTTTTAAAATCCATATAACTTTTATTTAAAACTTTTTTACGTGTCTATAACACAAATAAAACAATTGAACAATTACGCATTAATGGGACACCCTGTATATTTGTTAATAAATTAACATTAAAACAGGAGTTTATGGACCTTACGTGTTAATATCCTTCGTCTAGCGGCTCGGGCTCTTACTTACAGATTGCGGTCTATAGACGCCTGTTTACGTCCTTGATACATTATTAAACTATTAATGTAACCTTTAGTTTAAGGTAGAATTATACTTTATTATTGTTAGTACTGGATTTAGAATGTTTCCACATGTACAATCTAGTGTTAACAGAAAATAATAAATTAGTATATTTGTAAAAACTATAAAATAGTGGTTATTTCGTTAAAGAATACAAGAACAGCAACAAAACTCATAAAGCTAGTAGATGTGTTTCATCTCTAGGAAAAAAGATGAAAGAAATTAAGTGTCGAGTTATTAGTAGATCAGGGAAACGTCCAATAAATAATTAAATGTAGAATTCCCCAAAGAAGCAGAAGATAAAATCCAAGTATAACTTGATAACTTAGAATTTGTTAAGACAGAAAATTTTGAAATATTCTAGAAGTGAACACCTTAAAGTGGAAAATATGTATGATTTAAGAAAAAAGGACAAAGAACAAAATAATATATGCATAAGATCAATTTATAATTTTCATTTCGTAATTAGATGCAAGACTTCGCTGGAAGGTCCATGTTAAAAAGAAAAGACAAGAGTTAGATATAAAATTCAAGAAAATGTACTGGTTGTTTGGTAGGCATTCCAGCTAATCTACACATAACAAAATTCTATTATATAAACAAGTTCTCAAACCAATTTGGACCTATGGCATTCAGCTCTGGGGTTGTGCCAGCTACAGTAATATTCTAATAATCCAGAGATTCCAGAACAAAGTATTAATGAACATTGTCGATGCTCCTTGGTACATTAGAAACAGCGACCTTCATCGAGACCTTCAGATGGACACAGTTGACCAGACTATCACCAGATTCGCTAGGAGTCACGAACAACGGCTCCACCAACATGTGAACGTTGAGGCGATCCAGCTTCTTGACAACACGAACCTGACAAGAAGACTCAAGAGAGTGAAACCTTTTGAGTTAGCCAAGAGATTCTGTTAATAACAAAGCAAAGCATTGTGCGGTTTAGTGTTACACGTTAGTTTAGTGTAATTAAGTTATCAGACCCTAAGGTATACTAGCGAGTAGAACTTTGTTTTTTAAGATTGCAACCCTAGTTAAGTTAGGTTATAACAAAATTACTTATTGATCAACTCTTGATCAGATTGTAATATCAATAAACGCCCCTTTTGGAGTGTTTTTTCACAAAAAAAAATTCTTAATTAATTTTCAATTGTCGTGCCGGCTATTTACGATTTATAGTCTAAGATCCGAAGTAAGGTCGACCTTCACCCATCTGTTTAATGGATGAAAGTTTATTTTTATTAAATAAAATATGTTTATAAATATACCGCAAATGGGTTGTCTAGGAAAATACGGTCCAGACTATTTATTTTCTCAAAGTAAAAAAAACGACACCCTGTAAACTATTCCCCAGATGCTTCTACTATGCCCAAACTTTAATCAGCTCACCGCAAGCTTAAGTTTAAAATTTGTTTTTTTTTCTCTATCCGTTTTTGAGTCTTCAAAATTCTAAATTTGCACTTTTTCTCAAATATCTCAAATTAGGTCCATTTTAGGGAAATCATGTATAGGAACAAAATAATAGAGAATGACATCATAAGCAACTTTTATCATGATTCGCATACTTTCCTTATCTGTACACAGAAAGAAAAGTAAAAAATGGCCGTGACCGTATTTTCTTAGGCAACCCATTTGCGGTATAATTAAAAACATATTTTATTTATTAAAAAACAACTTTCATCCATTAAACAGATGGGTTAAGGTCGACCTTACTTACGGATCCTGGACTATTAGCTGCAGTTAAAGTTGCTCTGCAACTAAAGATATTTTTTCCAGTGACATGACCACACTATCTTTCACATTCTGTGTTGGTATATTCTATATTTTTTCATACTATGCTCTCATATGCCACACTTTTTTCGCTATTGTCTCAAAAACTATAATTAGATGGCCGATAATGATATAATTAAAATAACTATGTAACTTGTCAGAGATTTTTCAAGATCTCTTAAAGGGTTTCGTGTATCCTAATTCTGATTTATTTGTATGATTGTAAAACATAATGTATTCCAGTCATGTATAAAATGTTCGTTTTGCACCGTTTTATGAACTTGTTGCATAAATAAATATAGTTACACTATTATGTATATTTAGAGATAAATGCTGAAATTTTCCATAACTTCAATAATATTCAATTTAAGCTTTATGAAAATTCATAGGATTTTTATATTTTACCAGGTGTAGCGAACAACTTTGCAACAAGTAGTATTTTTCCGTCTCCACAAGAATTTGGTCAAGGTTTAGGAGATGGCATTTCGTCTTTTGTTCAAACTATACCGCAGATCGCACAAAGTTTTCAATCGCTATTACCAAATTTTGATAACTTTCAATGGCCGCAATTTGGTTCTTTGTTTCCAGGTATGGACAATAATATTTGAAACCTGAATATATGATTTTAAATTATATTTTGGAAAACGTTTGTAATTGACTGGTAAACTAAATGCTAGATTATCCTAATTCGTAAATAGGACCTGTTTAAGGGTAGTAAAAGTATTGAAATTAGGGTGGTGGGAAGAGATGACATACAGGATTCTCGCATCACAAGGTGACACTTATTAAAAATAATAAAAATTTGTAAAATAGTAATTTATCAGCAAAAATAAAGTGTTTTTGTAAAGAAAAGCCTAGAGAAATTCATATACACATTTATTTAAAAAATATACCTGCTTTTAATTTATATAAAAACCATTTAGCTAAATACCTTTAAACTACTTTTTAAGATCTTCAAATAAATATATTAAAAATACGAGAGACGCCAAATTAATGGTTCCTACTTTATCAATACCGAGAACTCCAGGAGCAAACTTTTAAGACTGCCCACCTAAAAATATTAGTGCTCCTTACTCCTTTTACTCCTAAAGATATGTAAAAATATTGTTTCTCTACCTTTTACGCTTTCTCATGTAAAAATATGTATACCTTTTTATCTCTTAAACATACCGTATAAAAATATGTTGGTCCTCTACCCCTTCAACCTGCACATGTAAAAATATTTTGACCCTTTGCCTCTAACGCCTGTCCATTTAACAATATTTTGTCGTTTTGCCTCTTACCTTGGCCATGTAATAATATTTGGCCCATTTATACCTTAAGTCTGTCCGTTTAAATATATTTGTTACCTTCATCCCTTATGAAATTAATTGGTCCCTTTGCTACTTATGCATATATAGCGAAACAGAAATTTGGTATATTCTCAGGTATGGTGTTAGGGTTCTAGGTAAAACCATGCATTGTAAGCAACTTGTGTGTTACCTCGGGTTTACTATAAATCCAATATAGCCGCCATCAGTATTGATATTTTCAATTCTTCACCGAGCAATTGGCTAAACTTACCACTGATGCTCCGAACCAACTGCTCATTACAAAGGATAATCAGGTGGCAAGGCAGCTGAGCAAGAATATACCAAAGCGTACTTCATCACAGTGGACACATACGTGGTTATTCTGGTTGAATATGTCAGAGTTATGGATATATTTTGGATCGGGAAAGACGTTTAGAAAGATTCTTATCCATTAGATCTGATAGAAGCTTGGACCTGAACGCCCTTCTCTTTTTTCATGCATCTACGGAGTCTGATGGAACATCATCGATGTTTAGAATAGGTAAAAAGATTGCCCGGAATGCATGGTCTGCATGGGATGTTTATCCTGAGGTCAATGACACGTTTATTGACATCTCAAATACTAATAGTTTCATGTTGAAATCACAACACGTGTCTCATCTTGAACGCTTTATAATTCTAATATACAAAAGAAACTGTGGTGCAGATTTAGTCAATGATGCAAAGAAGGCATCAGCATACGAAGATGGCGCTGCCCACTACCACATTCATGTGAAAGATGTGGCTGTTCAAATTGTCTGATATTACTGATTACAGTAAGGTGGTTTGGGAATAGAATAACAGAACCAAATAATGGGTACCATACTGGACTAATCTTCCAGATTCAAGCGATGGATGTTTATTGCAACTTAATTATGGTTGCTTGATCTCGTGCACAGGCAGATGTAAATGTTATCGAGCCGGAATTCGCTGTCGCCCATTTTGCAATAGACTACAAGCCCATAGAGAATTTTCAAGGAATCATTTGACCCAGCATGAATTACTTATAAATTTATACTACCATGTGTAACGATATCTTTAGAAACTATGCACACAATTTTTGTTATAGGTGAGTAGACATAATCTAAGCTAAGCCTACCACACAAATGGCGTGGTTTTTGACAAAACATTTTTGTGCGGCATTTTAAAAACAGTAAGGCATTTATAAACTAAGATTCGGATCGTTACATAGATAACTGTTTTAGCAACGCCGTACGTATGTGCTGATACAAGGGTTAGAAATGCAAGGCACAACTCTCTATTTGTAAGTAGTATATTGAGGATAAAATAATGACATTTTTGGCCAAATCAAATTTGTTGTGTTACTTGGACCACCTTGTATTTATATACATATTTTCCTCACTTTTTGCACCACTTTGTATTATATTTATGTATTTTACTAAACAATCGTTTTTTTTTTATGTATACACATTGTATATTGACTATAGTGATTAATTTTTGTACATTTACTTGTTTGCAGATTTTCTGCACTTCTTTTAAACCACTCTCTATCCTATTTTATGGTTTTACCAAACATATTTTTATGATTGTTTTTAATTAAATATCTATTTCCTAAATAACTTATTTGGTTACAAAAATTAGTCTAGGTACTTATTTTCACATTTCTTTTCTAATACCGACTCCTTATAATATAAATTTCTTTATTCACCTTTTTTGTTTCAACGCTCTGTATAATTATTTTCACATTTTCTTTATTTTTTGAGCTACCCTGTATCATATTTATGCTTTTTGTAATTTTAATGTATTTTTAATACCCCTTATAATTTCTACCTCATTTTAAGTGACTAATTTTGTTGAAAGACTTTGTATATTTATTTGTTGTTACATTTTCCCTCACTTTTTTTGAATCGCTCAGTATAATATATATGCTTCTATTAACTATTTATTTATTTATTTTCCCATTTTTTCCATTTTCTTCTGAATCCCGTATTAGGTAATCTACAAAGTACCTATAACCAACCTATGAAACATTTCTTAAAATTTTATGGTCTCTTCGTAAATACCGGAAAAGTTGAACGAACTTTTTGAAAAACATCCTATAAAATTCATGTCTTAGGTAGAAACTTTTTTTAGAACACCTCGTCATTCTGTTTGGTGTATATTTTTAAAACATCCCATATATTACTTACCTATCTTTTCTTTAAGTGATAATTTTTTTAATACCCCCTTACATTTATTTAGGTTCTTGTTTAACGCTATGGGGTATCTACTTAACGTATTTTTTCAAAATTCATTTTTTTTAAGCATTCTGTCCTTTATACCACCCTGTATAATAAAATATCCTATATAAGATCCATCTCTTAAGGCTTGCGTCTGACACACAAGGAATCGCATTTCGTGCAAGAAAAAGATGGGTATAACTTTCCGCAATGAAGGTGTCCCGGGACGTGGCGGTCCCTGGCAGTGAGTAAAGGAACTTAAAAATATCTAACCATCGAAGAATAGTTTTCTACTTCTGCTTTCAAGCCTTCAACCGTTGAGAAATTTACATAAGCAGACCCGGAATTAGTATCGTTTTAGGAAGAAATTTGAAAAGTTTGTTTCTAGTTTATAAATTACCTTTCTTGTCATAAAAAGTTTAAATTATAGTATGCTAAAATACAAATAAACCATTTTAACTTTCTTAGCAAAAATCAAAAAATCTAAACAAGCGCGTAAAGAAGAGAAACTTTGGAATGCACCAACTTAAATAAATCAAATTGTGTATGTATATGCATATTACATATGAAAATAAGAGGTCAATTTATAATTGAAATTATTTTTAAATTGTTGGTTTTTGGGACATACATCTCATTGTGAAAACAAATTTTAAAAAATCACATGGTTGTGGCTCTACAGACCAAGGCGTTATCAGTGGCCCACCCTGTATATAAGATATTACCTTACAAGGCCATTTTTAATTTGAGTGCAAGAAAAATATGTAGGTATGTATAAATGTTAAAAATGAATTCCGTGAAGCTAATTTTTAAAAATGTCAAATAGACATCTCTATAAAGATGGTTGTTTTTTTAGAGAAAACAAAATCAAAATTTAAAAAAAACATATTACATAAATTTAGCCTAAAAAATATTAAACATTGTATTTGTTCCGGCCCTGTCTGCCTCAAGAACAACGGTAATGCAAATGACTAACAACGACTAATGTTCTAAAGCGGAATCTGTGAAATTACCTTGAAGTTCTTACAGTATAGAATCCTACAAGCTTTGGATACGGCGTATATCATCTTTCATCTGCGTTGTCCCTAGCCGATTAGCTCTTATTTCAAACCAAGCTTTCAGGAAAACCAAACATTATTTTGAAGTGCGATTTGTTTCATTTATTTGATATGCTAGTTGTACGGGTGGTATCGAAAAGAAAACGTCTAAATATGTTTATTTTTAAAGTAAATACGTCGACAAGCCTAGGGCTTCTATGTGATTTTGACACCAATGATCAAAGTCATTTTTCGAGTATTTTTAAAAAACTCTGCTTCTTTAGATTTCTTTACAACCCGTAGGCATTATTCATGAACTAATTTCTATATTTAAATTAATGCTACGAAGTATACTTCTCCCGAAAGCTTCGTCAAAAGTAACCTCTACATATACGGGAAATTAACATGGGCGATCGCCGGCCTTAAGTTGAATACTGTATGTTTGCGGATATCTGATTGTGGCGCCATGAACAAATTTTAGACATATTGTTTTTCATTTATGCCAATCGCTCCATCCCAATTTTCGCATAAATACATTTTTGTAAGATGTAAATATGTACGAGTAGATGCAAGGATGCTGTTATTTCGAAACAGATATTGGGGTCTATTCTGTAACAATTCCTTTATATTTAACGGCCTTTAAAAATATTGGCGGCCTTTAAAAACATTTTCGTATTCGTTAATTTACTTCTGTCATTATTTAAACAGATTTCTTTAAGATAGTCCTCTAATGTATTTTAAAAATCCGTTTAAATAATGACAGAAGTAAAGAAGAAAATATTTTTAAAGGCCGTTAAATATAAAGGAATTGTTACAGAATAGGGCCCATTATATCACTGTCTTAAGACAATAATATCTATTTTAAGTAAAAAAGATTACAATTTAATATTTGTGTTGAATTTTTAGGTTATTAAAAGTTGAACCCAACACAAATTATAAATCCGACCCTAAGGCGCGCTTACCAAGTGGACTGTCTTCTTTCGGTGCTAGCTGCAACCATCTCCATAAGGATAATGAAATTCCAACACTCTGTAAAAATTTATTGTGCATAAACGTTGCATGACAACTTTTAAATTTGTAGATATTTACACTACTTTTATTTAGAAACTATCTACGTGTTTAACACTGCATTAGGGTTTCACATTTTATTTTATTTATTATTTCTTTGCTCGGAGAACTTAGGTGATTTACATAACAGAAAAATTGTTTTTATTTTAATGAGAGCATGTCCAACTTCTAGCGAAGCCCAGACTCGTCTGATATTTCAAAGAAAGAGATAGAGCCAAGATGAGATTGTTACAGCCACGTGGTCGACCCTGCGCGAAGGTGTGACGTCAGAGGCCTGTATTTTAAATATCAATATTCGTTACTATCGATATTTTTTACACATCCCTATTTCCGACGAATGTGTTCAATATTGCAATGTTCATTCTTTACTTTATATTTCTTATTAAAATTTGTGAATGCCGCATTGTTATTATGACCTTAAAATGAAGTAAAAATATAATAAAAAATATTATCAGTTAGGTATGTAAAATCCATTAGCTAAAAATGTACGGCATTGATTTTTCTTTATTTTTCTAGTTACGAATAATTATTAACAGCCATATTATTTAAAATATAATATAATGATATATAACAGGGTATTTTAAAAATATTAAAATTTAATACATTTTTTTTAAACGAATTTTTAATTTGTTCCATTAATTATAACTGGCTATGATTAAGTTAGATAGTTTTTAGTTATAGTTTATCAAAAAAGTGGTTGCCATACAAGAATTAATGATCTTATCGAAAACAAAATTTCAATTCAGTTTCAAAATACAGGCAATTGTTTAATAACTTTTGCATTAACCATAGTTTTCAGACGTCGTAGATACTGAAAATTATTTAAGCTTAAATAATCGTGTGGACTCGTTGCCGTATATTATTCAATTACTTGAAACAGTGGGACCCCTGTATCAGCAAATACCTACGGCGTTGCTAAAAAAGTTATCTATGTAATCCGAATCTTAGTGTATAAATGCTGTACTGTAGTCATTCGGCATTCGGTCGAAGTTCACTATTTTTTCATTACCAACTTACTTTAGAAATGTCGTACAAAAATGTTTTTCTGTAAACCACCTCCCTCTGGAGATATTATTTTTCTGTACCTCGTAGAGTGCTGGGTAATAAAACACGTAGATTATTACAACTTTCTATTAGCAGAATTTAATTATAAAAAACGTGACAAACATCTTACAGTCAAATCAACAACTAACTAACTGACATTATTACAAGTGACATAAGCGACACATATCACAAGAACATAGATTAAAGAGCGTTAGATATCAAAAACAGATGTATTAATTGTAACAACCTTATTATTGATTATTTCCTCATTCTCCCTCAATAATAGGGTGTCAAATTTTACAAAATAAAAAAAATAGTGTGAAGGAACATTATCACAATACTTTTTTTATATCCTATTTAATTTTTCACATAAATATTTGTGTCTTTTTGAACCTAACGATTTTGTCAGAATATCTGCTACCATTTCTTTAGTTGGCATATATAATAATGTTATTTCATTATTCTTTACACACTCACGAACAAAATGATACTTAACATGTATGTGTTTAGTGCGTTTGTGAAAACTTAGATTTTCTGACAACATCAACAACAAAAAATTACAGTTATTGTTATTGCTAAAAATTTCACAACATAAAGATTTTATATATAATGACTCTTTTACTGCCTCACATATCCCTATATATTCAGCTTCAGTTGAACTCAAAGCTACGGTTCTTTGCTTATGACATTCTCATGATATAGGCCCTCCAGTCAAAGAAAAAATATAACCATAAAATGATTTTCTGTCTAAAATGTCATTTGCCCAATCAGAGTCTACAAATCCCTTTATTTGATTATTTAAAAGTGATACCTACATCTTTTGTACCTTTAAGATACTTAAGTACTCTTTAGCACCCAACCAATGCTCTTTTGAATGGTTAATATTGAATTGACTTAGATATGATACTGAGAAGGTAATATCTGGTCTTGTACATACTGATAGATACATGATTGATCCAATTAACTGTTGAAAAGGAGCATCATAAAAAAAACTCCAACTACAAAAGTTTGGTTTAATTCTAAGAGAGCACCTACAATCTGAAACTTATTTAGAATTGTATCTAGTTATATATTGTTCCTGAGTTAATTTTAACTTACCCTTAGCACGGTTTCTTACTATTTTCATACCTAATATGTGTGACACAGGTCCAAGATCTTTTACATGAAAATGTTTATTTAATTCAGTTTTCAAAAAATTGGCACCATCAAGGTCATTGTAAACGATAAAGAAATCATCTACATACAGTGCAACTATAACTATAGAGTTTTCAATATTTTTAAAGAAAATACAACGCTCTATTTTCGATTGGCTAAATTTCAAATTAACAAGAACATTTCGAGCCTTTTCATGCCATAATCTTGATGATTGCTTTAACCCATAAACAGCCTTTTTGAGTAAACACATCTACTTCGTTTTGGATACCTGGATTCACAATCACTTTCACTAATATTTACTTTAGATTTATCCCGTTCTCCATTTTTAGAACCATTTTCACTATCACTCACTTCAATAGCACTATTTTCTTCTTCGCTGGACAGGCTGGACTTACATAATTCTGAAGAAGGTGGTGAGTTTGATTCTTAATCCACTAAGGTTAAATTCTCGGGTACCTCAATTATTTGATCCTCACTACTGACACTAAGTGGAAAGGAAATGCTTAACATAGCAGGCTGCAAAGTTTCTGGAAATTTTTCTTCCAAAAACACGATATGTCTTGCTATCTTTAGATTGTGATTGTTAGGATCCATAAATCTATAACCAATACTGGATTCAGAATATACTCTTTGCTCAAGTCGCCCTTGGCAATATTGAGGATAGGACACGTTTTGGACCTTGATAAGGCACAGTTTTGAAAGCTATAAATTATGAATAAGGCACAGTTTTAAAACATGCCCCGATATTCGTCTGTTAGTTTATATACGATATGATTTTTTTTGGAACCTAATTTGTGTTAAGACGAGTGCAGAATTTATTATAGATAGCAGCACCATTGCTAACTCAATTTGTGAATTTTTGAAATAAGACCATTTTTGAAAGTCATAGACTCCTTTTGTAATTAGTAAATTATATTAAATTATTAAAAAAATTGTTTTTTACCTTTATCATATCAAAATACGTAACGATCTTGAAATTGATTTTGAAACACAAATTAGACATGAGAAATGGATTCGTAGCATCCTAGAACCCACAAGATTTTGTGTCTAATAGAAGCCCATTTATTAAAAATAGCAATACAGATAGCGGCCATATTGAACTTATAGCAAAAAGGCCACCAGAGGATGCGCACAAGTTGCTTATAATGCGATGAATTCATCAAACCTTAATATCATACCTAAGACTATGCCAAATTTCAAAGACTTGGTACAAAGTGCACGATTCTTATAAATTTCCCTTAGGCTAACACCCGCATGTACAAATGTTTGAAAAATTTACCTTTTAAGTCTGCCCGAGTAAAAATATTTGGACCTTTACCCCTTAAGCTCACTTGTATAAAAATGTTTAGAATCTTTACCCCTAAATTTTGAGAACATTTTTTTGTCGGCAAGAATTCCCTTGAGGTAGGAGGCCTTAGTAAAAAACCAAAACGTATTATCAAAAATCGACTGGCGTCACACTAATGCGTCGTTTTTTGTTATATGACAGTTATGTAACGTTAAACCATCTACTTTGGTTATACATATGTATATTAAATGAATATGTTGATAAGCTGTAAATTATTCGCCTAATCGTTATGAATATTTTTACTATCACTTAATTAAACAGTATTTACGATACAGGATAACATATTCCAAGATATAATTTCAACAGAAAATACATTTTAAATACTAGGTAATTTGTTTAGGTCAAAATGCACCAAATACTCCGTTAGTTGAAAACCCAAGTTCTATTGTTCCAAACGATGAAATAAAACCGGTTCACGAAGAACATGATCCAATTACAGATCCATATAAGCTAAGATTGCGCACTGGTTAGTACTATTTTTGTAACATGTTGGTTTTTACATTGTTATAATTACATTAGTTTATTTATTTTTATACTTAACCAGATATAAATAACACGTAGGTATCTCTTTAACCAAATAACCATCTTCATTATAATGTGCTTCTTAAAACAAAACAGTATGAAAGTAGGTACCTATACAGTTTCGGTAAAGAGTAACACATGTCGGTATTTCACCAAAAGCACAAAGGAACCTAGTGAGATTGGTAAGACTGCTTGTACGTCTTAAATGTACCGGGTGGGCAATTTTTAATTGAAATATATTACTATCTCGTAAACTGTTGGTAACACAAAGTGTTTTAAATAAGAAAAAAGTTGTATCTTTGAAAGCTCAATTTGACAACGCCTTGAAAACCTAACTATCGGGGCATTTTTCCGACATATTGTATAAAAAAAAATTTGTCCACTACAGAACGTTTATTTAAAAAAAAATAGACAGAAACTCCTTTAATTTCTTTTGCTTATATAAAAAATAAAATTTTGTCTACTGCGGTTACATTAGTTTTAGTTGTTTTGGTTGTTTCTGTGTCAACATTCGGGCCTTTTACGTTGTTCAAAAGGTAAGTATAGGGTGGAAAGCTTACAAAAATTCCAAAAGTAGTAGACAACTGAAGAGACGCTGAGTTCCTATAATGGCCAAATTATGTTCTTTTCTTCCCACAAACTCAGTAAGTGAGGAAAGAAATAAAAGACAAACCTCAAACCTATATTCCTTTATAATGAATTTACCAATTGTAGTGGCTTACATGTAGCGCATACATCTGCTTCACACTTGCATTTCGTCATATGCGTCAAACAGCCCTAATCCTTTGATATTTTGTTATCACAATGGCAAAGACAAAAGATTGAGCTCATCTCGTTGGCAAATAAAAATGTATATTTTTTAAATGGAACACTCTAAATTTTAATTTCAGTTTTAAAATGGTTTGGTAATGCTGTATTCAATCCTATAATTTTTTAAAAACTATTACAGTTTTTCAAGCAATTAATTTTTTTATGAAATTAGCCCTTACCTGTACAAGGGTTCTACTTTTTGATATAAAACCTAACACGTCTCTGTAAAAGGGAAACACAGTGTTCTTAAAACAAGAATAATAATATAAGTAAAATATTTGTACAAAATAGGTCCTAACTAGACAAACACAAATATGGGGCTCAATATAATATTAAGACACAAAAATTATTAACTTACCAACTCCGTTAATATTTGGGGCACACATCACAACCCTTGATTAGTACCGCGATTCAAAATACAAAAAAAGGCTCCAAGCCCTCGCGATCAACATGAGGCCTAGCCACGCGGAGAATCCCAATCTGACCTCAAATTACCTTTTTATAAGTTCACTTGTTAGTTTATTATTTTATTTATATTTAATAATTATTTAAATAATCAACCTTGCACATGATTACAACTTAAAACAAATTGTCGACATAATTAAACAAAGTTTTATGTACAGGATGTTATTTAAATAATTAATTAGAATTTGAAAAAAAGTGAATTTATACGAAACGTGACAGTATGTTATACCACCAATTAATTAATACAGGGTATTTTATTTAAAAAATGAAGAAAATAGTCACCTTGCATTTTGACACACCCTATATTCAATATAGCAAATGAATGAAGTCAATTAAAATTATTTGACGATGTGAAAACAATCAAATATGTGTTTTGCCTTAAAAAAGTATGGGTTTGGTCAGCACTTCGTTTATAGACTAGCCTCTATATTTAAAAATATTTGTTAAATATGTTCATACAACTTTTATACTTAAAATTTCTTCGTATTTCCAATAATAAAACAGCTATCGATTAATTACGCACTGATGGTACACCCTGTATATGTATTATAGGATAACATGTTGGTATAGTTGGTTACAAAATTGTATAAGGCATTTTATGCTAAAATAATATCCAGGGTGTTGTATTTGAAAAAAATTAGTAAATTGAACTTAAAATTAGCCATATTTAAGACATGTTTGAAAACACTCTGTATAAAATAAACAAGTTCTATCGCCACTATTCGTTAGATTAGTATATTATAAGTCTGCACATTAAACAATTTTCAAATCAATGTAAACCTACCTAAATTATGATAATTTAATTTGAGGTCTGCGTCATTCTCTAATTTCATAAAAAATGTATTGCCTGGCAACCCTGTTATATATTTTTAAAACATTCTAGGCATGAATACAGTATTACCAAGTCATTCTAAAAATTAAATAAATAATTAAATAAAAAATAAATAAATAGAGGGTGTTCCACTTAAAAAAAGTGTTCACAACTGTACTGAGAAAGAAACTGCACTATATCATTTCTTTTAGATGGGTTTTCATTAGTTGCATTCCTAAAGTTGTCAAAAACTTTCGCCTCCTAGGTGCTGTCTCTTGTGGTTTAAGACTGGTGAATATTACTTTACAGTTTATACCACCAACGTCCAAGAATCTAAAGAAAGCTGCTATAGGCCACCTCCTGGTTATTCTTTGAGTGGTGTAAGAAGTGCATTTTTGATCGACAGTATCAACCCCACATTTTGTTTTATTGTAGTTCAATATTATATTGGGTTTATTGGTTGGTAGGGCAATTTCGCCTGTATCATCCATGGTTGATAATAAAAGCACAGCCTTGTTTTTTTTAGGACATACGAGACTAAAGTGACATCATCTTGGAAGCCAAATACACTAGAATCAGCTTAACGTGACTTAGTTGGAAGAAACTGTCGTGAATTTATTTTTGTTCTTCTTTATTGTTCCTGTCAACGTAAGACCATTTTGCAAAATATAATCTGCTAATGGATAACTGGTATAATAATTATTTGTAGTCAGGTTTCTGTTTGAGTTTATTAGAGGATCTACTATTTTCTGTACTCTGTCAAAGGGTTTATTAGACGCTTTGTAGGGTCCATCGCACTGTATTCCTCAATATATCTCGAAATTCCAAGTGTAATAGGAGTTACTATCACAAAGAGCATACATTTTGATGCCATATTGTGGCCATATTTTGCTGGTTTCTAGGGCATATATTGCACAAAAGCACGTCGACCTTTAAATTTATGTAGCATTTTGTCTAACGTTATATTTTCTCATAGATTATAGTTTTTCATGTAGTTATATATAAACTCTGTGCAAATTTCTCTAATAGCTGCAAGGTTGTCTGTTTTTTCTCTCTCTTTTCTTGTCTGTATGTTGTCAAATCTTAGGGCTCGAAGAAGAAATAAAAATCTTCTGTTACTAAAAACTGCCCTCAATAATAGCACCCCTGTACCATCTTTGCCCAATAACTCTTCAACATTAGTATGGTTTCCTTACTTTACAGCAATTATAAAAAGAACTCCAAGTAAAGCCTCAGGAGTAGGAAGTAAGATTGTAGTCTCGATCTCTACCGTACTTTGTCCTTGATTTATTTTGAATATATATGTTTGTACAATCAACAATTTGCTCCATCATATTTTTGGTAGTAAATACAAGAAAAGCCTATTTTTTACAAGTTACAATTCCTGCTGTCTGCCTTGCCACAGCTCTTACCTTAATAATATGTTTAGCCTTAGTTTTATTCGAAGTGGCCACAGAAGTATTTTTCATTTCGTTTCGTTGTCCTTTTCAATGTAGAAATGAAGGTCGTCATCTGGTTCCAAAGGCTGCGTATCTTCAATATCACCACTCTCACTATCTACATTCTGTTCGGAGTCACTACCGAATATATCATTTTCAACAACTTTCTCTTCTCCTTTGGATTCATCTTCCAAATCAAGAATATCCTTAATATCATATTAATTTTCTGCAATCTTTTTTTCCTTTAATTTTTTTCCCCAATTTGAAGCCCCTGAATAAAACATATTTATGTAATTTCAGAAAGTTTACATGATATAGGTATGCAACATCAAATACGTATGGATATCGAATTCATACTAAAAAATAGAAAATTTCGTTACATGACTAGTCGCACTGAATTAAACAGGTCCACATACTATAAGCGTAGCATAAAAAAATTTAATATGCTATCATATGCACAAAATAATATAAAATTAAAACTTTAATTGAGCGTTTGTCTCTTTTTGAAAATAAACGTAAAATAATGAAACGGAACTAATTTGTTTTCTATTGAATATCTTGGAAACCTGGACGGCTTTTAAAATATACAATTTTATTCTCATTTTAACTAACTTTGTGTCACCAAAGGTTTGGGATTTCAATTAAAGGGACCATCCTGTATACCTCATATCATTTGTGATGTTGATGAACTACCGATGTCTGTTGTAGTACTCAAAAAAGGAATGCTTTCGGATTTCGGAAAAATACTTTTCATGCGATTGTATTTCAAGAATCGTTAGGAGACCATAAAAACAGAGTAAAACCGAAGTTTCTAAACTTTCTTGATATTTTTGTTTCGAAATCGATTTTTATCGAAAACGGTCGTAGTAGAAAATGTTTCGTACAAAAGTTGTAGTTAACAATTTTTCTTATTCAATAACTACGCTACGATGATAAATGCAAACAATAGAGGACGACAAATTTCGCAAAAATATGGTTTCTTAAACTCTAAATGTATAAGCTGTTTGGCTTTAAAATATTTAAAAAATTGATGCAAGAGATAATCCACAAAAAGTTTGTAAAGTAGTCCTTGGAAAAATTCACGAGTTCCCGAGCTATCGATCCTTCTTCTTTTAAAGGGTCAGTTTCAATTTAATTCAATTCATGCGTAGTTGTCGTTCATGGCCTACTTTAGAAATAATTTTTGTAAATTACTCTTTAGTTTTACCGAATCTGTATATAGATTTTGTTACAGATCCATTTAAACGCCCTGGTCAATACCTTGTTGCTTCTCATCCACTGTTTGGTTCTAGCACATTTCATCTATCATCTTTTAATCCTGTTAAATTTTACCAAGGACTTGCAGAAGAGGTGGAGGAGTTTTTTGAGGACCTATTTAATTTTAGAAGATAGAATGAATTAACATGAATTGCTTTGAGGTGTAGATTAACACGTTAGTATTTTTAGTACTAAAATTAACACAAATAATCTGAACTTTTAGTTGAAATTTCATTTATTGGATTTGATTTAATCAGCCTAACAACTCTATTTGAGACGGTATTTTCTAAAAATTTATTCGAGGTAGATTAAGGGTTATTGTAATTATAATTTCTGGTAAAAAAAAAATTACTCAGGATCTTACTAAAAGGACTATCTTTTAGTTTTTGTAAATATACCTACCCAAATAGAGTATACTGCCATTTCTAAAATATTAGTGTTTTCAAAAAGCTTTTTAATATTTTAATTTTAGGAAACAACAACTATTACAGCAGTTATCAAAACTATCGCCCAAGAAACAAACAGGAAGAGTATATTTTGGGTAGAACCAATGTAAGAAGATCGGACGATGCCAATTTTCAACCGAGAGATTATCAAAAGATTTCAACTTATCTTGAGGAAGGAATTAGACATACAGAAAATAGTAATTTAAGATTTCCATCGTAATTTTTTTGTTTACGCTATTTTAACAGCCCATTTTTTGTAAATAATAAATATTTATAGATATCCGCATGTACTATTTTATTTTCTGCTTATATATCCACAATTCAGAGCCAAAACCCGATAATTTTTGTTTTGGAAAGAATCTTTTGTTTCTATATTTGCCCTATGTCACAGTTTATGTGCAGGAAAAAAGCATATAACTTTTTAGATTTTGATTTTTTCAGTCAAGTTAATAGACCTTTCCCGTTATTGATTATCTCTATTACTCATGCTCAAATCCTACTTCCTGTTAAAATCATAAAAATTTGTTATTATGTTTCACACACCTAGATGACTATACAGCGCAAGAGAGACATCAGACACGGCAACAATTGAAAATTCTAATAAGCCGCCATTTTGCCAGAAATCTGTCAAAACATATATGCAACTAACAATGCATGGTAATGTGAAAGCCAGACAGTATGCAACCAACATTATGCATTTTTGTTAAACAAATTACATGCATTAAGCTAGGCATTTTATAATTATTAAAAAAAAATTGTTTATGCATCAACTATTAACATTATTTTGTGAAATTGCATCATTACATATTCCTAATATAATTCACGAATACAAACGAAAACAATTCAAAACACTAAAATAGCATCGGCATTATCGACATCGAAAGTTGACACATAAATCTGACAATTTGCTGGCAAAATGGCGGAATATTGTATCCCGTTTCAGTAGACACTCAGATCAGATGCGCAGTTGTTCTTTAGCCGTATATTTCTCTAGGTGTGTGTTATGTTTCCTTCCCTGAGATCCGCAAATGTCATTTTCCTACGACCACTTAGGAAAGTGACACCTATCGCACTGTTTAGTCTTATGGGAAGTGCCTTATATCACACGCGTGTGGATAAATTTGCTTTCCACACGTGTGTGAATATGAATCTACTTTCCGCATAAGCTCTCAAATAATTAAGGCGTCTAATTTATATTTTGATTAATATAATGTCCATTTTAATAGTAAAGTCGATTTGATGATTAAATTGTTAACATTAATTTTTAAAAATAGATCCTAGATATTTCTTTTTAACAAATTATTAAAATAATTTTAAAGTAACTACCTACATTATTTTTGCTTTTTTCTTGTTCAAATATATATATTTAATTAGATAAGTCAAATCACAAAGCCGTGATAACGTAAATGGTTTAGCGTCTCTCGTTCTCAACTTGGCTTTTCGTGACCATTTTGTGACGCTGGTTCAATTCCCGATTAATTATTTTTTTTATTTTTCGTGTTTTGAAAAATATCAAAAATTTTAAAAATACGACCATTGTTTATTTATTTATTTATTTATAATACCTGTTATTTATCATATTATAATCTCTACAATATTTTGTACTATTTCAATTACTGTTTAGAAAAAAATTGTGAGTAAAGCAGGGACTAAACATTAATAATAAAAAAGTTTTTGTTGACGGTTGTTCAACTTATTTGTTTAGAAAAAAAAAAACTTTGTATATTAATATTTTTTGTAAACTAATGTTATTTTATCATTATCGTCCTATGAAATTGTTTGTAAATGGGATCACATTAATTTTAATTTTGACAAAGCATTATCTGTAAAATGCCTTAAAATTATTATAAAATAATAAATCTAAAACCAGCCACATCTTGATGGAACCTTTATAGCCAGATTTTCTAGTTTAGATAGATAAATTTATTTTATTTTTATTTTATTTTATTTATTTAGTACACCACTCAACAGTTAAAAACCAATTATAGAGTGGGATGAACATAAATTAAAAACAAATACAATATACTAATGATATACATCACAAACTAGTTAAGAACATCAGATATGACTGAACATAAAACAAATAATAAGTACAATAAAGCCTATTTTTAAGGAAAACTGAAGGTAAAATATTCAGTTACATTTAAGTTCTTAAAGGAGCATAAAACAAATTTAAAAAAATTAAAAAATTAAAATAAAATAAATACCCACAAAAGATATATTATCAACTTACCAGGCAGGATAAACACCTACTCAGTTTCTATGGTAATAGCTCTAAAAATATATATTTTCTTGCAACTAAAAATATCCAAACTGTCTTGAAGGCTATGATAATTATTGATCATTTGAAAAATTGGAGAACTGTTCAAAATATTTGTATTTGCAGCTGGCAAGTAAAAGCTTAAGTATCTTCTAAGGCCAGGGCGGGGTACTTTAATGTTGATATAATCCTGAAACTCAATGCAGCTTAGCCCTTCATGTAAAATATCCCATAGGAATGAAACTAGCTGCATTTTACGGCGTATGTGCAGTTCCATTAAACCAAAGCGCGACAACAGTTGATCATGAGGAAATCCTCTAGCAGAATAGATATTGTCTAGAAGATATGATGCGGACTTTATAAATTTTCTTTGCACATTTTCAATAGCGCTACTATAAATGTTAAGTGATGGATTCCATAAAACTGACGCATACTTAAGTCTAGATCTAACAAAACTAATATATAATAACCTCATTGTATGTATATTTTTAAATTGTTTGGAATTTCGAATTACAAAACCAAGACTCCGTGAAGTACACATAACTATCTACTCAATATACCTTGCGAAAGTTAATTCCCTATCAAAATGGACTCCCAGGTGCTTTATAAACTCCGGCCTACTTAACACAGTGCTATTGATCTGATAATCAAAGGTGAAATATGATTTTTTCCCAGTATATGTTATAACACTACATTTACCAGGATTCAAATGCAAATAATTTTTAGTACAGCATAGCAATAATTCAGCTAAACAACTTTGTAAAGCTGTGCAATCATCAAAGTTTCGTATTTTAGCAAAAATTTTTAAATCATCAGCATACATTAGGTATTTCACTTCTGTGCTTTTGCCAATAATATCATCAATATAAACTATGAAAAGAAGGGGTCCAAGAACCGAACCCTGCAGTACACCTAAAATTTGCTTATATTGGTTTGATCTAAATCCTTGGTGTTGCACGTACTGACATCTATTTTCTAAGTCAGAAGCGATAAGTAAAAGAAGAAGATCAGATAATCCCTTAGATTTTAATATTTGTAATAGGATTTGATGATCAATTTTATCGAATGCCTTAGAAAAGTCGTTATAAATAACATCGACCTGACTTCTTCTATCTAAAGCCTCTGCCAAAAATTGTGTTTTGCACACAAGATTCGACACAGTGGACCTACCCTTCATAAATCCGTGTTGGTATTGCGATAATGAACCCGAAAGATGTCTAGATAAGTATGTATGAATAATGATTTCAAATACTTTGGAGAAATTACAAAGTATGCTAACAGGTCTATAGTTGTCAAGATCATCTTTGGTTCCCTTTTTATAAACTGGTGTATCGCGAGATAATTTTCATAGATCAGAAAACATGGCTGTTTTCAATATTAAATTAAAAATAGTACACAGTGGGGTTGGAAGAATGTGTGCGCAATCTTTAATGAAGAAGGAAGGAATATATCAGGACCCATTGTCATTTTTGGCTTTAATCTTTTTATAGCGTCTACCACTTCTTTATCAGATACATGATTTATATATAAAATAGGTAAATTAACTGAAGTTGATTGAACAGATGCAATAGTACGTGTTGGTAATGTAAAATTGTTTGAGAAATGCTCTGCAAATACCTGCACAATATCTAATGGATTGTCCAATACATCATTATTAATTTGTACTGAAGATGGAAAGCTTGAGGAGTTCTTAAAAGAGTTTACGTATGTCCAAAATTTTTGAGGGTTTTCCTGAATATTATTTTCCATTCTTTCAGCATATTGAGAATGTGCAAGCTTAACTTGTCTACTAACATTAGTACGTGCGGATTTGAATGTATTTAAAGCCTCAAGAGAACCTGTAGACTTAAACCGACAATGAGCTTTATCTTTTTGTTTGATCATTTTGATAATAGTTAAACCATTTTATTACTAGCTTTCTTTTTTGGAACATGACGTGAAAATAATTCATATAGTTTTTCATTTAGTTTTTTTACACCGTCATTCACATCAGTTATATTATTTAAAAACTTCCAATCGATAGATTGAAGGTCAAAGTAGAGAGATTGGCTTTTTTAAAATTAAATTCTACTGAAGAAGAATTATTAGTTATATTATTTATTTTTTTATATTGTGATATATTTAATTTGAGTGCTGGATGATAGTCGTCTTCTTTTACAATAGTTTCCTCCGATCTTACAACTTCACATTGCTCGTTATAAAAAATTAGGTCTAACATGCGACCAAATTTAATTGTGGTAACTCGAAGAAATTTGCAAAATTTATAACAGCACTCAGTCTGGTAGAAAAACTAGGACCAATAATCTGAGCTGCATATTCAGGAACATTGAAATCACCTATTATCATTATCGAAATCGAAATATATTCAAATACCATTTCATAGTCCCTAGTAGACGTGGCTGGCGGTATGTACAAAATTAAAATATAAATATTTACATTACGAGGTTTAACTTTTATCAGTAGAAAATCAATATTGATGATAACCTCAGTAAGTGAAGTTATATCTAATATGTTTGCGCATAAATCTTTTCTTACGGCAGCTAATACTCCACCACCTCTCGAAGTACATTGGATATTTTTAGAACGACAGTCCTTTGATGAATGGTTTAGAGAGCACTTTGGACAGGTAGGCTCATTTTTATTGCATTGAGTTGCTAAGTGATGTAGTCCCCCAACAATTAAAACATCTAGCACAGTATACCAGACAGTCAAAATCAAATCCAACAGCCAGTTTGCCTAATTTCATAGCCCTTTGATACGTATTAGAATCAACCTGCATATTTTGTGGTCGTAGGAAAAATATTGTACATTACTTATATGAAAGTGATTTTTCACACTAGTAATGTAATATTTTTTTTAGGATTTGTTATTGGTAGGGGAGACAGTGGCAGTTATTTGCGCAAGGCAAAATTACAAATATTTCGTTCATTCTTTCCTTGTAGAACATTGAAATACTTTGCTAGTCCCTGCAGCGATGGAGTCCTCGACGACGAC